GTGCTGTGCGATGACGAGAATGGGATAACGTGGGCAAAGCGGAATCTCCTGCTGAGGGAAATCCTTCCCGCTGCAATTAAACTACACAGAGATCGTCTCATGGTTCAACGGGGGGATGGCAAATTTGTGACAAACAAGGTGTCGATGGGATCCTTTAAAGATAAGTGCACTGATGTTGTTATTGGTGAGAGATTAGAAAACAGGGGATTCAATGATGCTGATTTTGTGCTTTTTGTGGGTCTTGCTGCGTCGAGTCAAGACGTGAAAATATGTGCTGAGGATCCTATCTATTCATATCGACCGATTTCTGCTTACCTCACGTTTCAGCCGAAAGAGATTGAGAATGCAAGAAAATTTGTTCGCTACGCTGCTCACAAAATTGCGCATGGACTTGGATTAACTTATGGACGTATGTTGTCGCGTCACAAGGCAACTAATGGTGACCTTTTTTATGGCAACTATGATAGCTACCGTGTGAAAGTCAATGGTAGAGTGACAGTTGAGGCGCAGAAGCATTACAAGTGCTCCAAACTCAAAGGTATGTATCTAACTCAGAGAGGTCCTTTGGTTTCCAACCACTGGGGATGGCACATTGCAAAGGACGAACTGATGAGTCCGTACACTCCTGACTCCTCCGGGATGTTCTACACTAATCTAACACTTGGAGCTTTTCATGATATGCCCTACTACCGAGCCAATTTCAGCATGGCAGAACCCATGAGTTGGGGGAATCAATCAGGCTGCAACTTTGTTGGAAAAGAGGGAGACATACAACGAGATAAAATAACTAAGGAAAATCCCAACATGTTTTGCACTGGTGAAAAACAAGGGTTGCAGTGTACATCTGACCGTTTTGCTCTTGGTGTCTGCTCCAAGAAGGATACTCCTCCTAAGGCTATCTCAGAGGAGTACCACTACTTTGAAAAAGATGCCGGGATTGGAAGGGGTGATCTGTTCAATGACTTCTCCGTCATCAAGCCGTTTAAAGAGACTATGTGCGAGAATGGTAATGAGACACTGATGCCTGGCAGCATTGTGGACAAGATGTCACGGTGTCTGAGTGTAAAGGATCCGCAGATCAAGGATGTAAATGGAAATGGAGTGACAGTTCAAGGCATTTGTGCAAAAGTGAAGTGTGAGAATGGCAAGGTACTTGTGCATTACAAGGGGAACAAGGAACAGAATGGGAAAGAAAAATGGCGCACGTGCGAAAATGATGGCCAGCAAATTAATTTGGAGGGTTCAGTGATCAGCGGTGGAACTATTGTGTGCCCCAAATACGAAGAAGTATGCACGAAACTGCCGGAAACTGATCCCCCCGCCGTTGAGTATGAGGAATATGTGGAACCCCAAAAGAACAAAGAGAAGAAGGAAGAGGAGGAAGCCAATAAACTGAGCAACTCGAGCGCAGAGTCGAAGCCGAACAATGGCGCAGGTACAGATACTAGGGTTGAAACGTCCAGTAATATCCAAGGGAAAAGTTTACCAGCAGCTTCTAATCAGCCCAGTACTACAGCACAAAGTGCCACACATGAAGAAGGCCGTGGATCGAGAAATCACCATGATGCTGATACTACTTCTCAATCCTCATCTAATCCCAATGGGAAGAAGTTAACTGAGGACCAAATGAAAGAAACACTAAATCATACGAATGATGTGAGACGTACTGACAGCAGCATCATGTTCTCCTACATAGCCCCTCTTGCACTTCTTGTGGGTGTTGTTGGTTTTGTGATGGTTCCATGAGAGATCCATTCATATTCAGAAATAATAAACACTTTTGCTTATTACGGTCCTTTGAAACGAATCCCATATACCGCAATACATTGACCGTTCTTTTTTTTTTTTTTTCAGCGTTCTTCGCTCCATTGGAAAATTTCTTTTAATTGTTAATGATTTATTGCTATGATTTTAAATTCATTTTCTGAAAAATGAGTAATTATCAAATATACATTTTGCAGAATCCCACTGTTTATTACCATATACATGAGAGTACGCACATAATATGGTGAGAGAGTGACGAAAGTGTCGGATAAGCATAAACATTTGCTTGGGCTTCCTTTTATTGTGCTTTTTTTTCTTTTTTTGATTTTTTTGGGCGTTCTTCATTTCATTGGAAAAATTCCTTTTAATTGTTTATAATTTTTTGCTATGATTTTAAATTCATTTTCTGAACAATTTATAATTGCTCACTTATGCATTCTTCAGAATCACACTGTTCGTTGTCATATACAATGGAGTGGACACACATAATATGCTGAGAGAGCGATGACAGTGTCGTGTTGAACAGTAAACATGAACTTGGGCTTCATATCATTGGGGATTTTTTAAATGGGTTTCTTTTTTATTGAATTAAAATGTTCTGGGTAAGAAAGTTTATGTGTTTATGTTTTTCTGTAGTTGTTTCTATACTGATGTATTTCTTCTGTTGTTTATTATATGTGTTGTTTCTTTTCCCTTTTTTTTGTGTCTCTCTTTACCCTCCCCAGGTCTCTCAAGGATTCTATTTGATAGACACACTGAGAATGATGGTGTGAGGCACATATTTCTTTTTTTACGTTCTTTAGCTGTGGTGATTGGATTTGACTGCAGGTAGGTGCCGCTACTCTTGTTATTGGTGTGCAGCCTTTGATATTGCATTTATCGTGTTACTGTTATTGGTGTTTCTGAGAGTATTACTATTGATGTATACATGTGTTTAATTCTCTGCTGGATCGAATATAATAGTATATTTCTCTTGGCATTCCGTATTTTTCTGTATTTTGTTTTGCTATTTATTGCGTATGTTTTAGCAGTGCATCTGCTCATCCACAGCTGTCTAATTACGGCCGTGGGTATACTATCGTATGAATATTACTGGTCTCATTTAACTGCAATTGTGTTGGGTTTATTACTTTTCTGACTAATCATAGTGATGTGGCTATGTTTGTAGTTTACTGTGTATTTCATATATTCACTTTTGTTATTTCTTGTGATTTATTCTTTTAATCATTAATAATTCCATGGGTTCTTGTGCATTAAATTATTCTTGATAATTGACTACTTCAGTTTCTTCTTTTCCACAGGTACACCCAGGTCATTTGAGAATAATCTCTAATGGAACCTAAGAGTATTTTGCACCTCTTCTAGTTTATTTGTTCCATTACTTTCCTTCTTTCTTTTTCCTGCTAATGCTGTTATTGGTGTGATTGGGGGAAAACAATCGCAGTGAAGCAAAGAGAAATGGAATGTTCACTTATTGAGTCCATACAATGCTGTACGTGAGACACCCTGTATTAATACATGGTATCACAGGGGGAGTATGTAAGTGTTTGTTTGGGGATGGGTTAAACAATATCTCTGCTGTATTGTTGTATGAATGCCATTCTTTCCACTGTGTGATGTCTTGTATACCTTTTCTCTTTTTTTTTTATTGTTTTCTGTGTTTTTATTTTATTTTTTTCTTTTCTCGCCATTATCCTATACACAAGTCGTAATAATTGTTTTTTTCATCAAGTTTACATTTGCTATACACATAATGAGACATCCACTCCTCCAAGTGGTGCTATTACTGTTTATCTGCGGTGCTGTGGCCGGACCTGCATACGCCTGTAATTACGATGAAATCAAAAAGAAGAACGGTTCTCCTGTCGCTGTGGTGAGAGAATTACCGAAGAGTGGACAGGGCGCTTGGCAGGCGTACACCGTGGTGGCATCTAATAATGACAATGAGATTAAGAATAAGGGTTGGGAACCACTGCGCATCAATGTATCCTATGAAAATCTGAAAGAGGATAAGTACTGTGTAAATAAGGATGAAAAGCGCAGGGATTTTTTGGATGGGGAGGAGCAAAATTGTGTTTCTATTGATCTTATGAACGAAGAAAAGAAGAAGAGACTCACTGATGAAATTGTGCCCGAGGCTATCAAATTACACACTGATCGTCTCCTAGTTCAGCGGATAAAAACACCTTGGAAAGTACCAAATTTGAGGGATCATGCTGTTTGTTCTCACTTCACAAGCCCAGACGACCACACATCTCAGGATGTGCAAGATGCTGATTATCTGTTGTATGTGGCTGCTGGTCCGAATAAAAAACTTTGGTCTTCGCCCTGGGCTGTAACATGTGCTATTGATGAACAAACTAAACGTCCAATGGTTGGTGCCATGAATATTCATCCTGTGTACACTGATTTTACACGAGCTAATGTTCGCTTTATTGCACATCAACTCGCACATGCTCTTGGTTTTGACTATAAAAATATGATGAAGGAGGAACTCAAGGATAAAGAAGAGAATATACGTGGGGTGGTCAAATCTGCAAAAGTACTGGAAAAGGCAAAGGAACATTATAACTGTGACAGCCTAACAGAAGTTAAGTTGGAACATACAACTAAAGGGAATACAACATCTCACTGGAATCGACGCAACACAAAGGATGAGTTGATGAGTATGTATACTTTCAATGGACCGATTGAGGGTATTGGATACTACACTGCACTGACAATTGCATCATTTGAAGATTTGGGATTTTACAAGGGAAATTTCAACATGTCTGAACCAATGAGTTGGGGATACCATGCTGGTTGTGACTTTCTCGAGGCTACTTGTAAGGAGAAGGACAAGCGCATAGATGCTGCTAAATTCTGCACTACGTTCCCAACAGATTCGTGTACGTCTGATCGTTTGGGTTTGGGTATTTGCTTTCAATCCCCCGAGACAACATCCAATTGCCCCATTTTTGCGGCCAATGAGATGTTTTTCTGTGCCACAGAGGGAACCTCTTATGGTTGGTCAGGGCTATTTGGAAAAGATTCATGGTGTTTGGATGTTGATTATCTGAAACCTCAACAAGATGGGGAAAATAATATGAAACAAGGTATGTGCGCGGCAGTGGACTGCAGTGATGATGGTGTTGTTAAGGTGCAACTTAAAGAGGATGGTGAATGGTTCAGTTGCCCGAGGGAAGATGGAGTTATCACACCAAATGGAACAGAGTATCCCACGTACGTGAATAGAAGCATAAAGTGTCCTAAATACTCTGAAGTGTGTACTGTGAGCTATAATGGAAGCAGTCTTGTCAAGCCAAAAGAAGAGAAACTGACCACACCAACAACCGAAGAGAATACTGTAAGCGGCACAACTGACACCACTGCTTCAGCTCTCCCTTCGTCCACTGCGGTTTCAGATATCCAGAGTCGGCCAACTAATACACAAGATAATAACCACAGAACCACAACCACACCAACTACTGCAGTACCGAATAATGCTCATACCACAGGGAGCAGTATTACTGACTCTACAACACCCCAGGGATCCATTAACCAGAAAAATAACACCATGAACATTGAAATTGTCTCCAGAGTCGGTAATGATCACAGTGAGGTTACAAAGGTTTACACACCGCTTGTACTACTTGTTCTCGTTGTTTCGACTCTGCTGATATCTTTTTGATCCTTGTATTTGCTAAATACATTTTTTTTTTTGTTTCTATATCCGTGTGTGTGTACGTGTGTACTTGTCTGGGCTTGTGAATGTAATCTTGCGCGGGACCTCTGGGTCTCGAAAGAAAGACTTTTTTAATTATATTGATATTCAACTGTATTGAAAATCAATTTTTTATTTATTTTACTGGTATCCTTTGAGGATGTGCAGACCTTCTGCGGTTTGTTTCTCATATATTGGTAAAAAGTATTGTGCGAAGAAGATTTTTTTTTTTTTGGACAGGAACATATAAAGTTGGAAAAAGTGAATTTTTTTTTTGGTGGGACTCTCGGGGTGGTGGGAATATGTTGAAAGTATGAAGGATAATCATTTTTTTTTTCTTTTTGAGTATTCACTGGGTGACTCTGCTAGCCGTTGTGGGTTGTAACATGGATTGCTCTATTCTGCTCCTATGTTAGAGTATGACCATGATGGAATATATGTGTGTCAAGTATGTTTTCTCTTTCTCTCCTTTTCTTTGCTGGTTGTTTTTGTAGTGTGAGTAGTGTGTTGGGTATTCTCTTCTCTGTCTAGTCTTGTTCATGTGTTCCCAGGGATATACCCACAATAGTGTGCTCTGATTAGTTCTCTCTCGTACACACATGGTGTTCTCTATGTGATGCCAAAGGAGAGGAGTGTTTTCTTCTTTTGTGTATTTGTATAAATAAGGAACGAGAAATGACAGTGCTTGCACAAACAACCACGCTGTCACTATTGGGTTGATGGTGTGCAAGTCCATCGTCTTCTACACTAAGGGTGCCTTGGCAATGCCGGCCACCTCAACGTGGTGCCAAGGTCCAGCACTTCGTATTGTCGGGGGAAGCCAAAAGAGCCAGCGATGTTTTTCTTGTGGAAGACCTGTTGGCCCTTAGGCTACGGCGTTGTACAGCACCGGGACCAGCCGCGTCGTGCTGGGGCAGAAATATATCCAAGAAGGTCATGGGGCACGTGTCGACGTGCTATCAGCAGTATCACCCGCACCAGGTTGCTGCTGAGTGGTGATGTAGAGGAAAATCCCGGCCCTTCACTGCGAGGAATGCAGTGGAACTCAGCTGGACTTATCCAGTTTGAGGGATTGCTCTCCACAAAAACCCCCTGTTGAGGAGAATGTGACTTTTTGTCTTCTAAGCGAGACGAAACTATCTTGTGCGGAAGTGTCGAGTTTCACAATCGCTGGTTACCAACATCATGGAGTGTCCCGCCCCTCTAAAGGAGGCGGTGTTTCGATTCTTGTGCGTGTGAAGATCTGCCAGTAGAAGTAGGACTCACCGTAGTTGCAAGCATTGAGCATGCTCATGCAACGATCCTCATGTCAGAAGGTCTGGCGCCCACAGTGGCGTCAGCATATTCTTCCCTCTGGGGAGATCATACACAACTTCGCAACTAGACACTCCTTTGACGACAAGCGGACCTCACCTCATTGGTGCAGATGCTAATGCGTGTGCAATGGCATGGGATCGCGCGATCCCCCCTGATACCCGTGGCGGTGCGCTAGTATAATGGTGCCTAGATAATGATTACGTTATTCACAACACTGGAGAATGCACTCGCCACACGCCAAACGCCATGGCCCGTCCGCGCCAGATGTGACAATATCCCGAGAATGCCTTCTGGAGTCATGGACGGCATCCTTCTCCCCGGACAGCGACCATTACATCATCCTCTTCGACGTAGCAGTAGAAGATGATGACGAACCGCTGCGGTTCCCTCGCCCTCGTGCACCCATTTATGCATGGAAGAAAGCGAAATGGTCTCGCTTTAGACAAATGCCAAACGCACAGTGCAACAAACAACCTGATCAAAAAATTAGCGTTCACAAGAGGGAACGACTACTGACCTCCGCTGTCTGTATCGCAACAGCTGCGGCGGTTCCACGCGGGGGTCGAGAGACTGCCCCTTTTGGGCTCCAGAATTAGAGGAAATCGAAAAAAAGATTCACAATTGTAAACCTTCTGTCTCCCGAGACAGACTGGTAGCTCGCAGGAGAGAAATGCTAAAACAAGCTTCCCACAAAAGATGGAAAACCCTCTGCAAGAACATTGCCGTGGCAGACGGCCGCTGTGGGAACATTTTGAAGAGGATTTACGCCCCGCGACCCCTCAGTACCCCGGCGATTAAACTTAACAACACGGTACTCACGGAAAATCAGAAAGCTAAGCACTTTATCCGCTTATATTCAAGACGAGCTCAACGGCACCCACATTCCTACCCTCCACCGCCCATTCCAGTCACCGATACAGAATTCACCCCCATTACAGCAGCAGAACTGGAACGAGCGCAGCGTCTCCTTCCTAAAGGGACGGCTGCAGGTCCTGATGGGATCTACGGCGAGGCTCTCCAACATTTGGGACCTCGAGAGCCAAAGCAGAGACCCTCGCCCTCTTCAACGAGAGTCTCCGTACAGGCGTCGTTCCAGTAGCTTGGAAAGTAGGCATCATCGTACCACTCCTTAAACCAGGAAAGAAGGCCACAGATCTAGATTCGTTAAGACCAGTTACACTCACTAGCTGTCTGTCCAAATTAATGGATCGGATCATCGCAGCCCGAATTAGAGACGTCATTGAAACCAAATTGACCCCGCAACAATCTGGATTTAGACCCGGCCACTCTACATTGGATCAACTACCGCATCTACGCGCAACCCTCACGAGACCCACCCTTGATTCGCGCACAGGTGCAGTATTCGTAGATTATGCTAAAGCTTTCGATACTGCGGACCATGATCGCATAGTTAGTGCGATGCGCGAGATGGATCTCCCACCGCACACCATTCGATGGCCAGCATCTTTCCTGAAAGGACGCCAAGCCAAAGTACGAGTAAACCGTAAATCCTCTCCTCTAATGCTCTTCCGCCGCGGTGTGCCACAAGGAACAGTTCTCGGCCCGCTTATGTTCATTATGGTAATGAACACCCTCAGTAAACGTTTATCCCAAGTTCCCTTATTGTTTCATGGTTTTTTCGCCGATGATCTCACACTCGCAGCACGACACGTCAACAGAGACATCATCAACAGTACACTGCAACAAGGACTAAATGTAGTGGACGAATGGTCCAAGGACTGTTTTATGGAAATCAACGTGGCCAAGACGCAATACACTCTTTTTGGAACCTCCGACCCGGATCCCCTTTCCCTTTGAACTACGCGGTATCCCCGTCGGTCCGGAGAAGACACCTAAACTACTAGGCATTACGTTTCAGAACTACCGAGGAATGAACACCCATGTGGTTCAAACGAGACAACGCATGAATTTTCGTTTACTACAACTTGCTGCGATATCCTCCGCCACATGGGGACCGAAACGTGATGCCCTACGTGCCTTCTACCTGGCGCTAGTTCGAGCCCAGGCGCTTTATGGTTTTGAGGTCTGGTATTGGGATGCGGCTCCCAAATCACACAAACTCCTAGATACAGGTCAAAATAAAGCTTGTCGAACCATAGTGGGCATCCCATATGGATGCCGCTCCGCCGACGCATTACGTGAAGCCCGTCTTCTCCCATTAGAGATGGCAGCTATGATTCGGAGCCTCAAATATTTAATGCGATGCCAGACACGAGGTGAATCCCTCAAAGAAAGCGCAGAGCAAGTTTATCACGAAACCCATCCAGTACGAGAATTCTACGTACGCATCATGAAAAATCTATCCAACACTTGTTATAGAGCCACGCGAGCCCCCTTTACTGACACCAACGCTAAGGTTCGGTTAACGCGCTCGCTTCTTCACATCGCTGGAAAACGTATCAGATGATGACCCAGAAGAACAGAAAAGAGAAGCATCCGAGCGTTGGATAGCTCGACACTTCCGCCGTAAAGGCACAGAACCGCCGCCGCGTACCCATTATGAAATTTGGACTGATGGTTCCGTATTTCTAGGAGTAAAATCTGGAGCAGCAGCAATGATATATAAAGATGGTGAACTGCTCAGTGCAACACATAGAGGCGCTGGACCCCTAGCTTGCAGCTATACAGCTGAATCCGTCGCGCTATACGAAGGTTTACGGAGACTCCTCAAAATAATCCCTGCAAATAACCCAACACCATGCAGGGTCTCCATTTTCACGGACTCACTGTCTCTTCTCACGGCACTGGAAACAGGCCCACTGACCGTCAAAGACCCTATACTACGACTCCTGTGGAACCTCCTCCTCCAAGTGCAACGTCGCAAAGCCCGCATACGGTTACAATTTATATTTTGACACTGTGGTGTGGTGAAAAATGAAAAATGCGACACAGAAGCTAAGAAAGCTGCAGAACTAACACAAAGAACTGATACTTGGATCACAGATATTATTGCCTACGCCAAGCGAATACTTAAGGGAGAGGATACACACCCCTCCCTCCCACAGATCAAAAATCATTGGATCCTGGGATCCCACCAAAGACAACCCAGAACTTACTAGAGAAGAAGAAACAGCCTTAGCACGGTTTCGCACAGGTGCTTCGCATCGCTATGGCTGGTTGCTGCGAAAGATTCAAACCCATATCCCTCCTGGTTGTCGTTGGCGCAACCCCCAACAAGTCAACATGCCAGAACACATTGTTCCAACTGGCCAAAAACGACAGCACTATGCCCCAAACAAAGCCACTGACCCCGCCACCTGCACTGAATGTGGGACTGAATACTCATGCAGGGGCGCCGCAGCACAACATATGGTCAGCAAAAACATGGTTTCAAGAGAGCCGGTGCGCTCTGGAAGATCAAATTCCTCCATGAGCCGCCCTCCGCCGGACGTCCCGCCAGAACCGTCACCACCCCCACCCCCAGCAACAACGTTACCACGTTCCACTTCGCCTAAAGCAAAAACGCACCCGTTTGCCTGCAGTATGTGTAAGCGGACTTTTCCGCTTCAAAACGGATTAACGCGACACCTCAGATACATGCACAATGCCACGTGCCCTGTCCCAGAAAGAAAACGACCGCGAGCCGGCGAACCGATACCAGACGAATCAGCGTTCCCATGCGACAAATGTGATATGATAGCACGCTCTAAAACAGGCCTTAAATCCCATATTAGAGAGCGAACCATCCTGAAGACCCGGAAAAACAAAGAGATCTTCTTCTACAACGCAACCCCCGAGTGTGAAATTAAAGCGCTGTGGGGCAGGCTGATGGCAGTATCGTTGGAGTAATATCCATAAAAAAGAGAAAAAAAAACCCTGGAGGGGTGGTGTGGTTCTGCTAGAGTGGGGGGTGGAAGGGAATATGTATGATCGTACCTTCCTAATATTCATCGTGGATGTGTTTTCTGTTTTTTATATTTTGTTGATAATGGTGTGGATGAAGAAAAATCGAACGGGCATTGTGAGGGAAAAATAAAATAATAGTAATAAGGATAAATAAAGAGGTAATATATGTGTGTGAGAGTAATTGTGTGTTGATTGTGTTTGTAAAGATTGTCATGGTTACAGTGATGTATGCAGTTAATTTTTGTTATGGTTGTGAGTGGGTTATGGATTTCAATTGTGGTGTTGTTGTAAATATTATGGTATTGCATTGGTTTCTTTCTTTTTCTGTTTGTAAGTGTGTCGATTATTGTACAGTCTTTTTCTTTTGCTGATGTGTTTTTTGGCATTGTTATTGTTTGCCGCTAGGCGTACACTGTGTGGGTGGTGTGTTTTTCGTGTTCGAGTTGCGTGGTAATGATTTTGTTGTAATGAGAATACAGACACTTTGTGTATGAATACCGAGTAAGATATTGGAGTGTGTGTAGAGACGTTGATTTACTGGTGTTTTGTTTTTATCCTTTTCCTTCTGAATTCAAGGTGTTGTTTCAATATCTGTGCAACTCTCGGTGTTTTGTTGTTGGAGTGGTTTACTGTTGCTCCCCCATTGTGTTGTGTTTGATTGCTGTGGTGATGTGTACTCTCTCTCTTTCTCTCTCCGTGGTGCTGTGTTCTCTGCCTTGTGTGTTAAATGTGCGTATCTTTTCATCCTCTACTCGTCGTCGCAGATCCAAGCAATCCACAGTGACAATCATGACAACGATGTTCGTCCAACTACACCGTGTGGTGTACCTGTTGGTACTTCTGCAATCCTGTGCGTGTGTGGTGAATGCGAACGGTGTGGAGGGACAGAAAATAATTATTAAGGTACCCCAGGGAGATATTACAAAGGTGAAAGAGATCGATGACAACCGTGAAGCCGAGAATGGGGAGAGACGGTTGCGCGAATTGGTGAACCAGGCGTATAGACTGTATTTGGAAGGTAAGAGTTGTGTGGCGGTGTTGCGGAAGGAGACGGAAGCATGCAAAAAAAATAAAGAGATCGCCAAAGGTGCCGCCGAGAAAACGAAGGCAGCTGTTGAAGCTCTCCAGAAAGAATGGGGAACTGGGGTGCCACGGCAGGAAGGAGACATTGCCCAGGAAAAACTTGCGAGTCTGAAGAGTTTGGTGGGAGATGCGGAGAAGAAGATTGAAGAGAGCAAGAATGCAGTTGCGAAAGAGACCTCGGTGATTCAGAGGACGAAATACGCAAGAACAGCCTGTTGGATTTCGTATGACGATTTGAATGATGAGGTGAGGCAACTCAACGCGACCAGGGAGGGACTTGAGGGTATGTTCAAAGAGCACAGAACGCCAGCGAGGGAGGATCTCGTTAAGAACGCTACCAAAACAGGTGATGATTTGTACTGGCTTACGCAGGAGGTGAGGTTGACTCTCAGACGGGGGCGGGACGCCAAGACAGAAGCCGAAACTGAGTTTAAGAAGGCGGACGATATTTTGAAAGGCGCGTTAAGGACACTCGAGACGGTCACGGCCGAGGTACAACAAAAAATTACAAAGAATGAGGGTCACGCGAACCTTAAGGAGTTTCAGAAGGTTGTGAACGAGAGCGAGAAGGCATTAAAAGAAGTTACCTTAAAAAGCAATGCGATCGCCGAACCGGCGCCGGGTTTGATCCAGTATGCGGGTAATACTTATGAAGAATCCTATGCGAGGGAGGAGAAAGAGAATCCTGTCACACATAATAAAAGGATTTTCGAAGAACTACGGAAGAAGGTGGCATTGGCAGAGATCCAGGACGAACTAAAGAAGGCGGAGCAGGAGGCGGCTCGGCTTTTGGCGGAAAAAATAATCCAAGAAGAAGAAGAAAAGAATAGGAGGATCGCCGAAGAGGAAAGGAAGAGACAGGAGACACTGGCAGAAGAAGAAAGGAGAAAACGGGAGAGGGTGGCGGAAGAAGAAAGAAGGAAGCAGGAGAAACTGGCAGAAGAAGAAACGAAGAAACGTGAGAAACTGGCTGAAGAAGAAAGAAAAAAACGGGAGAAACTGGCTCTAGAAAAGAAGGCAAAGGAAGAGGCGGAGCGGGCGAGAGTGGCAGCAGAAAAGGCCAAGAAAAAGAGGGATGGTAGCGTCAGTCCTGCGTTGGTGCACAATTCCCTGCCGCTTCTTGTTGTGATATGTGTACTTGGTTGCACTCTCGTTTGCTGATCGTTGTTCCCGTGACACGGTTGCACAGTTGATCTTTGTTTGAGTGGATATGGATGTATTGTAAGGGCTCTGTTCTTTTTTCTGAAATATCAGACCCTTTTAAAAAATATTATTATCTTGTTTGATGAATCTCTTGTTTGCACTTTTTTGCTGAACACATCTATTGGACTCCTATGGCACTCATCACATGAAAAACCATTATTATGTAAGGGATTGTCCTCTTTCTTTGTTGGCATCATCTGGGATCTGCTTTGCCGCCATTTACCGTGCCCTCCTAGTGAAGTGTGTGTGTGTGTGTTCCGTGATATTACTAACTATTGCTTTTACCTATGGGAATGGGATATTTCCCCAACATGTTTTAATGACTGTGACTGAAATGTGAAGAATGGCAGGTGGTTCAAGACACACAAACACGCACACTACCAACCTTCCTTCTCCTTGTGTGTGTGTGTGGACTGTCATTATGTTTGTGTGCATCATTCCCACTGTTCGCCCTGTACGAAAGACACACACACCTACTGCAGGGAATTGTGTTCTTGCCTCCTGAACATATTCACATGGTAATCACAGCTTTCTTTTTCTTTCGTTTTCATTATTTTGTTTTTTCCTTGTGTGTGTGTTTCATTATAATTTCATTGCACATTATGTGCAGCTGTGTGTTTCTCTTTTGCGTTTCCGATACACCTTGTGTATCTTGTGTGTTCATTTCTATGGAATAATAATTTGCTTTGATTATCTACAAACCAAAGAGTCAATAAAAATAATAATGAGAAGGAAGTTATACCTTCACCATTAAGTACTTTTTAAGGATTTTGAGGTGGACATCGCTGTGTCCAGGCATGGCAGCCACAGTAAGTAATGAATTTTTTTTTATCATTTTTTTTTTTTGCTCTATTATTGTGTCTACCTCACGCAGTCACTCTTTTTTTACATTTTTATTTTGGTATAAAGATCGATGGGTTGTAGGTGTTTGAGTCTTTTTCTGTGTGTGTGTTCAACTTGCTACTCTCACCACCCACGTAATGAAAACACATTTCTTTGTTCTCACCTTCTCTCGCGGTGGTGTCACTCACGGCATTGCCACGAACATATTTGTGCCCTTGTGGTGTGTGGCTTGCTTGAGTGACTGCAACCTGCGGGGAGGGACTGAGACTGTTCCGCTTCGGCTTCACGTAATGGGTCTGTTTTTCTTTTTGGGGGTTGAGTTGATGTGCTGGTGTGGGTGAATGTTTTTCTCTGATGAGAGTGGCACCTGTGCTTATTGTATTGTGAGTGCTTTGTGTGCTGTTGGTATCCTGTTGTTGTTGTTGTTTTCTTGTGTTTTTATTTTACTCTCTCCAGGTGTGTGACTTAGTGTACATTTTAGTGAATGCGGCAGTGCCTCTCAGATATGAGCATGTGAGATTGTCGATCTTCGTGTGTGTGGACTGTGAGTTGGAAGGACACTTTATGTTGCTGGACCACTCCACTGCGGCGTCTGTGGGGTTTGTGTGTGGTGTGCTTCGCTTCGGCGGGGCTCGAGGGGCACTTTACGTCCCGAGGCGCTGAACCTTGAGGCCTGAAAATATCATGCTCAGGGACTTTTTGAACTTGAGAGAGAAAGATAAGATGAGGAGGAGGAAAAAGGATGAAACCCGGCAACCAGTCTACGTGCGTAAAGCTCTAGGCTCGTTGTCGGGTTTTGCCCTTTTCTTTTTTTCATCCCTCACCCGAAGAATGGAAATGCGAGAACACAACGCACAACCCCCTACCACCCAAGGCGGGCGGCCAACTTGCCAGCGCCTTGTGCGCAACAAGATGGGTGGGGGGGATCCCGGGGGTGTTTCACCTTTAATGGGATTGGGGATAGTGGGGAACTCTATGTTTTCCACTCTACTTCACGCCACGAGGGGAACGGGGAAGAGGCATCTTTGCGGAGTACCTCTCCCACCCACCTTCGTGGCGCGATGGCCATGCAAGCGCGCCTTTTACTCTGCCACATGCGGCAGCATAGTGAAGAGACCAACAATCACGTTCTTTTCATTAAGACAAATTCCACTATGGTAGAGTGCTTATGGCATTGAGCTGCTGCCATGGGCGGCTAGAAAAGAAAATGGAGAAAAGAATATACAATATATTCCCCGTAAGAACATTTTCTTCCACAAGTGTTTTGTTTATCGGGACCCCGCCCACCCCCCTCCTGCGCCAACAGTGTGTGAAGTATGTTTGGATTCCCTGAATGCATTAAAGTGCTGGCCGGGCAACCGCTGGAAGGCAGCCGCCATTGCCAAAGGCGTGAAATGGGTCACATCGGAGCCGAGGTATCTACCCCAAGATGGTGGCGAAAAAAAAGTGGAAGAGGGTACGGCGTCCCGGGTTCCAGCGCCATCACTGAGTCGCCGTACTAACGAGGCCTGTGGCCGCTTAACTTCACAAATCGGACGGGATATGGTGCATTCGGCCAAGTATGGTCGTACCCGATATTCACGCAAAAGAACGCATTTTGTTCTTGGTGGTGTTCCCGGGGCGCCCCTCCCAGCTCCACCGGCGCCAGGGGTGAATTTTCAGTTTTGCGAGTGCCGTGCGTTGCCCGCCCCCGTGCGCTACTGGGCCTCTTTGCGGTGGTATTGGGGCACATTTTCGCACACAAGCTAACCCTTGTAGGTGTTGGGTTGTTCCGTTGTTTTGGGTTGTGCCGACCTGCTGGCGTCGCCGCCGCCGCCGTCTGTCACAACTTTGGCCGGCTGGTGGTGCCGGGGTGGGGCGGCAGTTTTCTGGTCGAAGCAGGCGGCCTCTACAATAGTTGCGCCTCTGCTATTTTGGCGTTCTACTAGTTGTTATTCGTCTTTTGGTCATTCGTAGCTTCCGTGTCGTTGTGCTACTCTGCCTTGGTGGGGTTGTGGGGTTTCCCGGGCCGTCCCGGACTTGTCCGTGTGACGGGGCCGGGCTCCCACCCCCATATTTTTGGGGAGTGTCGGACGCGCCGGCCGGGGGTTTGCCGTCGTGATTTGTGCTTTCTACGTGTGCTGCGGGTGCTTGCGCTTTTGTTTGCGGCGCCGCGCGTTGCGCTCCGGCTGTGGGTCTCTGACTCCCGTGGGGTGTTGGGGGTGAAAGGGGATATGTATGATCGTGCCCTCCAAATTCACATTATGAAAGAGGGGAGGTGGGTGCAGGTGACGGTGGGTGTTTGCGATGGTGCTTCTCCGATTGCGGTATTGCCGGCTGGCACCGTAGGTGAAATACGATAATAGAAAGGACAATCGAAGAGGTAATGGACGTTTATGTGTGGGTGTTTGTTGATTGGATGGATTTTTGTGGTTTTGTTTTGCGTATTTTTTTTTTTTTTTTGGTTTCCTCTCTCTCTTTCTGTGTGAGGGGATCGCGTGGACCCACCGTCGTTGATTGGATGTGCTGGTGTCACTGTTTCGGATGCCGTGGGCCGGGGTATGTGGGGAGTGGTTGTGTGGTTGCAGAAACGGGGTTTTGATCCGCCATGGGGTTGTGATTTTCTGAAGGGTGCAAGGCGCAATGGCATACGGGGTTGTGGGTTAGGCGATGATGCACCGCCCCGCGATACTTTGGTGAGTGTTGCTGTGCCATTATTGTTGTTTCTTTGGATTGTGGTGTGCGGAGGGTTTCCACCTCTGTGGTTGCAGAGTTCGTTGTTGCGTCGCAGTGACGGGGTGACTGTGCTCAGGAAGAGTGCAGACCGTAATTTGAGTGGTGGGGTTGGGTGGTGGCGGTGTGACCCGTGTATGTTGTGTTGCTAATGAGACTTCATGTGTTTGCCGAGTTTTGTTTTTCTCGGCATCCCTTGTGCCTGTGATGGTCAATATGACATTGTGTTGCGCATGGCACGTTTGTTTCAGTGTCTTTTGAATGCATTTCTTCTCCTTTTTTTTCTTTCATTTTTGTTTTGTATTTTGAGACAGCTATACACAAAAGCACATTTGTAAGTGGGTTTTCAAAGAAGTTCTACATGCATCATCTGTTGTTCGCTGCGTTGCTCTTGCTGTGTTGTGCCTACGGGTGCATTGCAAAGACCCAATACGGGACGCCGTATCCGCCCGATCCGGACGAGGATCCAATGCCGGAAACGGAGGATTCCCGCGTTTGGGGTGTGAAGGTCGCCAGAGTCCTCCCAAGAGATGATGAATCCAACGAAGAATGGCAGAACATCCGTATTGCTATGAACCCAGGAATGATTCAGGATGCGTTGCTGTACTGCAAGTATGGAAATCAATATACCAAGATATACGATAGGTTCGACCCGAATGTTTGTGAAGCGGTGAAAGGAAAGGACTATCAGATCCGCAGTTTATTGTTGGATGTGATGCGCAAGGCCATGGAGATGCATGTTGAGCGTCTTAAGGTCAAGCCTGTGAAGGGTAATTTGAGGATTGACGTTCCATTCGAACCACGTCCCAGACGCGACACTGATGGTACAATGTGCGTTGAGGTGGTACCCCCTTTTGACGGCAAGGATGGGATGGGTATTCCCAATACGGATTTTGTGATCTATTTGGGTTTTTCTACCAAAAAACCGGGTACGAAGATTTGCACTTACGACAAGAATGGACGCCCAACATCTGCCATTATCAAATTGGATCCACGTGAGATCGCTGACACGAGAGAATATGTCCGCGTTGTTGCGCACGAGATTGCACACGGACTTGGGTTCACCTTGGCCATGAGGGAATTCCAGAAGATGAAGCGCAGTGTAAACAACAGCGGTTACGTGGGGTATGAAGAACTCACCAGTGATGAAATAGAGAGGGTGAGGAGCCTATACAAATGTGGTGGGTCCGGAATGAAATTGGATAGTTCTGTGTTGCGTGGCGAGAGAGATCTTGACGCTCACTTTGATGGAGATGTTGCGAGGGAGGAGTTGATGGCCCCAGCCTACAAAGACCAAAGAGGAGCAATGAAGTACACCGCATTTACCCTTGCTGTATTTGAGTCTACAGAGCACTACAAGGCAATTTACAAGAACGCCGAGAGGATAAGGAGCAGGAAAACCTGCCCCCTCCGCGAATAGTTGTGGACCCAAGATGACAACATCGCCACGTGAGACGACATGTTCTGCGGTCCTAATTAGAGAAACCATTTCGGTGTATATCCCAGTTTGTTTTGTTCTTTCTCCGCATTATTCTCTGGGTTCCGTATTGCCGTCATTTACTTTGCCCGCCTAGTGAAGTGTGTCTCTGTGTTCTGTGATATTACTAACTATTGCTTTTACCCATGGGAATGGGATATTTCCCCAACATGTTTTAATGACTGTGACTGAAATGTGAAGAATGGCAGGTGGTTCAAGACACACAAACACGCACACTACCAACCTTCCTTCTCCTTGTGTGTGTGTGTAGGCCGTCATCATGTGTGTGCATTATTCCCACTGCTCACCCTGTACGAAAGACACACACACACACATCCGTTGCTGGGAATTGTGTTCTTGACCCCCTGAACATATTCTCATGGTGATCACAGCTTTCTTTTTCTTGTTTTGTTTTTATTATATTGTTTTTCCTTTGTGTGTGTTTCTCTTCACTAATAAATGGCACGTTATGTGCAGTTGTGTGTTCCTCTTTTGCTCTGTTATTGTGTCTGCCTCATGCAGTCACTCTTCTTCTACATTTTCATTTTGTTACAGGGATTGGTGGGTTGTAGGTGTTTGAGTCTTTTTCTGTGTGTGTGTTCAACTTGCTACTCGCACCGCCCACGTAATGAAAACACATTTTGTTCTCACCTTCTCTCTTGGTGTTGTCACTCACGGCATTGCCACAAACATATTTCTGCTCTTGTGGTTTGTGTGGTTTGCTTGAGTGACTGCACCCTACGGGGAGATGGACTGAGACTATTCCGCTTCGGCTTCACGTAATGGGTCTGTTTTTTTTTCTTTTTGGGGTTGAGTTGATGTGCTGGTGTGGGTGAATGTTTTTCTCTGATGAGAGTGACAACTGTGTTTATTGTATTGTGGGTGCTTTGTGTGCCGTTGGTATCCTGTTGTTGTTGTTGTTCTTTTCTTGTGTTTTTCTTTTCCTCTCTGTAGGTGTGTGACTCAGTGTACATTTTAGTGAATTGCTGTGGTGCCTCTCTGATATGAGCGTGTGAGACGGCCATTCTGTGTGTGCACTGGGTATGGGAAGGACGCTTTGCGTTGCTGGATCACTCCACTGCGGCGTCTGTGTGGGCGGCTGGGGTGGTGGCGTGGTTCCTTCGCGCTAGTCCATTGCTCTGCGGTGCTGTTGGCCTGAAATATCGTGCACAGGGCCTTGAACTTGAGAAAAAGAAGATGAGGAAAAAGGAAGAAACCCGGCAACCAGTCTACGTGCGTAAAGCTCGAGGCTCGTTGTCGGGTTTCGCCCTTTTCATTTTTTTTCCCTCACCCAAAGAAGGGGGAGGAGAACACACAACACACAACCCCTACCACCCAAGGCGGGCGGCCAACTTGTCAGCGTCTTGCGCGCAACAAGAGGGTGAGGGTTCCGTGGGGTGTTTCACTTATATAATGGGGCTGGGAATAGTGGAACAAATTCTGCTTTCCCTACTTAAAGGTGTGGCGGGCCTGCTAGCGCGCCTTTTACTCAGTGAAGATGGGTTTCAGAGGTATTCTGCAAAGATGACCCCCTTCCCCCTTCCCCGTTGCCTTCAACGCTGGCTAAGGGGGCAACACCCATGTTATTTTTATTAAGACAAATTCCACTATGGTAGTAGTGCTTTGGGCATTGTGCGCAGCTGCCATGGGCAGGAAGGAAAGAAAATGGACAAAAAGAAATAAGATTACAGTAAGAAAATATTACCCCATAAGAAAATATTACCGCATATATGTTTGGTTTATGGGGGCCCCCCTCTATCCCCAACGATGTATGAAGTATGTTTGGTTTCCCTGAATGGATTCAGGTCCTTAACCGTGACGCCGAGAAAAGTTAGTACATCATTAGAAAGGTCTTTTTGTCTTTAAGTGACGGTCTGTTGAAATATTGCAATCTGTAAAAGAAAAAAAAGAAAAAGATTGATATGGTGACGTCGACTTCTACCCGAAGCGACGTTGTTGCAAACAAAAAACCCTTGTGTCATTTTTAGCGTGAGAAGATTGAGTAATAAATATTGATGCCCATTCTTACCAACAGAGTCTGCCAGGGCGTTCTTTGGGGCGGTGTTTGTGGATGCCGGCGGGGCTCATCGTTACCTGGGTTGTTGTTGTTGTCACTGCTTCCCTCGGAGCAAAAAACTTCGAATTTGGAAAATAGTGACGATAGAAAACGCCATGTTATTTTATTGCGAAGGGAGAAACGTGAGGATACCAAAAAAAAAAAAAACCTTCTGCCATCAAAGAACCCCTTAATTATATAAAGTGTTGTGGGTACTGACGGTGGTGTTCTTCCATTGTGGTTCACGCGCCTTTTGCAGAAAAGAGATATTACCACAGAGCGGCGAAATCGTTGAGTTCGATATTATATAAACTCAGGAATCAAAACCATAAAGCCAGAGTTTTAAATGACTGTGTGTTCAATAAGAGTGACATTATGGATTTGTTTTTATTTTATTTATAAATTCCATGGGGTTTGAGAGGGGTAGGAATTGTACAGAAACAGGTCCTTGGCGATGAGGGCCGCCACAACGTGGTACCAAGGTTGAACAAATGAATTTATTCAGGGAAACTAAATGCACTCAATAAATATTTGCAGGAGGTGGTCTCCCCACAAAAAAATTCTTTTTATTTTTCTTTTAACGCATGCGTTCTTCGGAATGGCATCCCCTTGGTGGCGTTTGTCCGTCGAAAGTTGGAGCCAAGGTGCATTACCTCTTATTCTTTCGGGGGAAACCATGGGCAAGTAAACTCTCTTTTGTAGAGTTTTCGGGTTCATAGGCTACAAACGTCATACAGCACCGGGGCCAGAAGAGTCGTGCTGGGACAAAACTTTATCCAAGAAGGCCCTGGGGCGCCAACGGCAGCAGTTTCTTTTACATATTTCGCCTTTTTGTGAATGCTGCTAAAAAAGGAGAGGCAATGACCATAGAGATAGCAACAACTATCTCCTCCAGTGGTGGAAATTGGATTTAGCCAATGGGGTGACTCAGAAAGGTAAGAAAAAATCCATGTTCCGCCACCTACGAGATTCATAGTAATTTCTTTACCAATGCGCACTACCTTTGCGCAACGGTAATAAAACAATAATACAAAAACAAATTATATACATGTATATTTATGTATTTATTTATATGTATTGCTTTTGATGGCTCGTGCCATTGGAGTAACATCGATAAAGAAACGAAAAACACAAAAAAAAAACCGTGGTGATTTGGGATCCGTTTTGGGGTAGCAGTGGAAGGGGATATGTAGGATCTTGCCTTCCTATTGTACGTCATGAAGTAAAGAACATGCGTTTGGGTTGTATTTTTAGTTTTTTGCTGAAAATGGTGTGGAAGAAGAAGAGGAGGTGAATTGTCATTGTGTTGGAAAAACAAATAAAATAATAGTAAAAAACTAAATAATGAGGTAATATGTGTGTGAGAGTAAATGTGTGTTGATTCTGTCTGTTTGTAAGGAGTGGCGTGGTCACAGTGATGAATGCAGTCATTGTTGTTATGGTTGTGAGTTGGTTTTTTGATTTCAATTGTGGTGTTGTTGTAAATATTATGGTATTGCATTGGTTTATTTTTTTTTCTGTTTTGCAAGTGTGTTGTTTATTTGTACAGTCTCTTTGTTTTGCTGATGTTTTGTGGCATTGTTTTTGTTTGCTGCTAGACGTACACTATGTTTTTGGTGTTCGGGTTGCGTGGTAATGATTTTATTGTAATGGGAGTTCAGACACTTTGTGTATGAATACCGAGTAAGACATTGGTGTGTGTGTAGAGACGTTGATTTACTGGTGTTTTGTTTTTATCCTTTTCCTTCTGAATTCAAGGTGTTGTTTCAATATCTGTGCAACTCTCGGTGTTTTGTTGATGGAGTGGTTTACTGTTGCTCCCCCATTGTGTTGTGTTTGATTGCTGTGGTGATGTGTACTCTCTCTCTTTCTCTCTCCGTGGTGCTGTGTTCTCTGCCTTGTGTGTTAAATGTGCGTATCTTTTCATCCTCTTTTTCTTCCTTGTTACCACAGACCCAAGCAACCCACAGTGACAATCATAACAACGATGTTCGTCCAACTGCGCCGTGTGGTGTACCTGTTGGTAGTTCTGCAGTGCTGTTTGTATGTGGTGAGCGCTGCTGATGCCCAAGAATTCGAACAGGCACGGAACCGTTTACAGGCGGTAGTAAATGAAGTAGTTAGTCGATCAGCGGTAAGGGAGAAATGGTTGGAAGAGCGGAGGAGTGCATTGGAGGCATGTGAGACGGATTATAAAGAAGCTGAAGCTGTTGTGAATGAAATCAAAATCCTAATGGCCGCGATTAAGGAAAAAGTGAAAGGCGAGACGATCCCAGATGCCCCGTCCCGGCTCCAAGAAGAAGTTGTCGAGTTGGTGAGCAGGGCCATTGAAATAATACCGAGAGCCGAGAAGGCCTCTACGAATTGTGATGCATCGTACAAAAAGGCGCTGAATACGGAGAGGTTATTGAAACTGATTCCGGAGGGTATGGAAGAAGATTTGCAAGAACTTAAAAAAGCTCTAACGACATTCGGGTCGGTAAGTGCTAGTGAAGAGAACAAGGATATCAAAGAGAAAGAGCTGCGCTTTGCATATGCGACGTATTACAAGTTATTTAACATCTCACAGGATTTCACAAGTCTGGACGCAAAACTTCTTGGATGCAACATCTTCGCCAAGATGAATGGGAAGGAGGCGGATGACGCCAAGAACAAATTGACTGCGATGATCGGGAATCATGGGGAAACAGTAAAACAACTGCAACAACGAAAAGAACAAGCAAAGAAAGCATACAGGGAACGGCAGGAGGCAGCGCAGAGGAGACGGAACATGGAGAGAAGAAAGTGGCTCAGGTGGGGTTGAGGAAGACGCAGGAGAAGAAAAAGGCTGAAGAGAAGGCGAAACAAGAAGAAGAACAGGAGAAGATCATCAAAGAAGAGTAGGGGAGGAGGGCGAGAGAGGAAAAAGAGAGGACGAAAAGGGTTGAAGAAGAGAAAGAGTAAAGAGGAAGAGGAGCTGGTGAGGAAGGCCAAAGAAAAACATGAGGCAACCAAAGACGAAAAAACGAGGAGGGCTGTGGAAGAGTTGACGATAAGGGCCAAAACAAAGAACGACAGCAGCAACAGTCCTGCATTACCCCACGGCCCCTTACTGCTGCTTCTGCTGTGGGTGCTGGGCTGCACTCTCGTGTGCTGATCGGTGTTCCCGAGAAACAGCTGCACATCTAACCTTTGTTTAAGTGGATATGGATGCATTGTAAGGGTGTTTTTTTGGTTGGATATCAGCCCTTCTTTTTACTTTTCCAGTACGATAAAATTCTTGTTTCCATTTTTTGCTGGACGAATATATTGATCTTCCTATGGCACTCATCACATGACAAACCATTATTATGTAAGGGAGTGTCCTCTTTCTTTGTTGGCATTATTCCCTGGGCACTGCTTAGCCGCCACGTATTGTACCCTCCTAGTGAAGTGTGTGTGTGTGTTCCGTGATATTACTAACTATTGCTTTTACCCATGGGAATGGGATATTTCCCCAACATGTTTTAATGACTGTGACTGAAATGTGAAGAATGGCAGGTGGTTCAAGACACACAAACACGCACACTACCAACCTTCCTTATCCTTGTGTGTGTGTGTGTGGACTGTCATCATGTGTGCATCATTCCCACTGCTCTCCCTGTACGAAAGACACACACACTCACACCTACTGCTGGGAATTGTGTTCTTGCCTCCTGAACATATTCTCATGGTGATCACAGCTTTCTTTACTTTTTTTTTTATATATTGTTTTTCCTTTGTGTGTGTTTCATTATAATTTCATTGCACATTATGTGCAGCTGTGTGTTTCTCTTTTGCGTTTCCGATACACCTTGTGTATCTTGTGTGTTCATTTTTTTGTGAAATGATTCTTTTTTTTTCGTTTTATACAATCTGCTGCACGGACATCAAGAATAAAGATATGGTCACGGCACGTTCAGTACACAATGATTTTCCGTTGTTAACATTGGAGTGGATTGGACTGTGTCCAGGCATCTCAGCCGCAGTAAGTAATGAATTTCTTTTTTATTATTTTTGCTCTATTATTGTGTCTACCTCACGCAGTCACTCTTTTTTTTCCACATTTTTCTTTTCGTATAAAGATCGATGGGTTGTAGGTGTTTGAGTCTTTTTCTGTGTGTGTGTTCAACTTGCTACTCACACCGCCCGCGTAATGAAAACACATTTCTTTGTTCTCACCTTCTCTCTCGGTGTTGTCACTCACGGCATTGCCACAAACATATTTCTGCTCTTGTGGTTTGTGTGGCTTGCTTGAGTGACTGCAACCTGCGGGGAGGGACTGAGACTGGTCCGCTTCGGCCTCACGTAATGGGTCTGTTTTTCTTTTTGGGGTTGAGTTGATGTGCTGGTGTGGGTGAATGTTTTTCTCAGATGAGAGTGACATCTGTGTTTATTGTATTGTGGGTGCTTTGTGTCCTGTTGGTATCCTGTTGTTGTTGTTCTTCTCTTGTGTTTTTCTTTTCCTCTCTGTAGGTGTGTGACTCCGTGTACATTTTAGTGAATGCTGTAGCGCCTCTCTGATATGAGCATGTGAGACTGTCATTGAGTGCGTGTACTGTGGGTGGGAAGGGGACTTTGTGTTGCTGGTCCACTGTCCTGTGGTGTTATCGGTACACGCAAATGAATGGATTAGTGGGATTCCCTCTGTCCCGAGTTACTATCTAGCGAAACGACAGTCAAGGGAACGGACTTGAAGGGCTAAGCGGGGAAAGAAGACCCTGTTGAGTTTGACTCCA